TTCTGGTCAGAACTTGCGCGGATGTGCATTCATAAAGTTTTGCATCTTAACCCTATCCTCAAAAATTCAAATTTTCATGATGCCAGGATCTGATTGTCCTGAGAATTTGTAACTCATCTGCTGAGAAAGAGAAAATGTCCAATTCCATTTGTAGAATGTTATATGTGTTCTTAAGTCGGGAAAACACTTGAGATGCGCCAGGTGCCGTAGCTAACCGAGTAGCTCTAGAAGCATGTGTAAAAGCTCGTAATGAAGGACGTGGGGAGCGTTGAAGCTTGCTTCTTCTCCAGAGTTTTCTTGGTCATCAATACGACCTGTCCTTGACCCATCATATCATCCGAAGAAACGGAAAATACCAAAAAGTTCGAATTCACAGCTAATAACATTGATTCGATGGCTTTAAATCATTTAAGACGATGCCACCCACCGCAACTGAAGCCATTAACACCATATAACCCCATTTCTTAATGTAACATATGCAGGTACATTCGTTATAACTCTAGTTTTGTGAAATACTAGAATAATTGTTCAAATTTACCACAATTTAGGGCCTCTTTGGGCCCGATTTTTCTCCAAAAAATTGATTTTTTGACCGTTATTTCACTATTTCAGCCGTCATATTTGACTTCTTCTCTCATGGGTGGACCCCATTTTTCTTCTAACGGTCAAAAAATCAATTTTCAAAATCACTCCCAAACAGCCTCTTAGAAAGCATATCTAAAGTTTTTTTCGATGTAAAAACTCTATTTGTATAAAAGCGCTTGTTAGAGTTGCTTAAAAATTGCTTTTTGATTTCTGAGATGTCCTAGACCATGATCAAGGATGAGATCAATGGTTAGCAATAAGGGTATAAATGAAACTGTTAGCTTTGAACTTCTAGAATTTTATCGTCTCTCTTTCATCTTCTTTCAAACCTCCTTCATGATTGTATTCCAGGCTGAGCACAACATCCTTATGCACCCATTTCACATGTTAGGCGTAGTTGGTGAATTCGGCGGCCTATTCCATGACTGGAACAGGCGAGAATACACAATACATCACAATTTTGAATAAGAAGAAAGCCTTCTTTTTCATTGTACAACTTAGCCTATGTTTGGCCCCCATTTTTTCAAAACTCATTTTCAACCACATATTCTTCCATAAAATAATATTACACGTAAATCGAAAACTTTTCCTTTCTTTTTAACCACAAATCCTCTAAAAAATAATTATTGCAAAACTGATTTTCCTCAAATTTTCTTTAAAATGGAGCCCAAACAAGGGCTTAATATAAGTGATAGGGAGATATGGTGATCAATTCTCAGTGACAGTATTCATGAATCACTCATTCAACTATCCATCGAAAACAGGGTTGCGAAGTACCATGTGCCGCATATCCTTTCTTTCTATCCGTCCCACCCAACAAGAGAAGGTTCATTGGTTGATAATTACATTTAACGAACAAAATCAATTGGTTGCTCATTGGTTGGCAAAAAAATGTTAGCGAATGTATTCAACAATAAAAAATATGTTTGGTCGTTAAATTTGTTATTCATCAACTAAATAACTGTTGATAAGAGGTTTGCATTGACAACGGATTCTTTTTTCGACAACCATTTGTTTGATTGTTATAATAACTATTTTTGTCGTCAAAGTACAATGAAAACAACCAAATTTTAGTCGCCTTTCATTATAAAAACGAAAAAAATTGCTGTTAAAAACTAATACTAGCATCCAATTAATTTATTTCAAAAATTACTTGATTTGTCATTTTATTAAATATTTGTCCATCTACACAAAACTACAGCTTCAGAGATGAAATTTTCCATCGTTGATAGCTTGAATTCCATAGATAACAACTTTTAGTGAGAGATCCCTTTCATCGATAAATCGATACAATCATTTCCTCTGGGTTTACCGATGCTGTATTAATTATGATTATTATTTCTTGGAAACTTTTAACACTTTAGTATTTAAACTCAAAAGTTTAAACAAACTAAAGTTCAATAAAATGTACAAACAAACTAACAATGAATCTGAAAATACAAACAATTTCGTTCACTTTCCTTAATTTTTGAGTTTAAAATAAGATCAAATTAAAATAATTTACAAGAATAGTTGAGTCAATTATTAGAGGCACTTTGATGAAGTACACTTCCAGTGAAGGATATAACCTGCACAAAAATAAGGGGGAAAAAAACCTCAACTTAAATTTCTTCAAACTAAGTTCAAGAAAGAAAGTTAAATATCAAAACAAGATCAAGATTAATAAACGGGTGCTGCTTCAACAGTATAATAATTTTTCTCGTAGGTTAATCATAGTTCAGACAAAGAAATGAAGAACAAATCCCTTGAGGAAATATAGATTGGTAGATAAATAATACTTCATAGAATTTAGTAAGGTGTATACTGTTGACTTTTGTATTTATTAACGAATGCACCTCAAGTCACCACGTTTTGAGGTTAAATAATTCATACAAAATTCATATGATATATGATAAAAGCAGTGTTAACAAAATTACGTTTGTGAATATCCGACTCCTGGTATGAAGAGACTGTAAAGAGAGGAACATTAGCGTGAGAATTTAACATTCGTGCGAAAAATTCTTGCACATTTTAGGTCGAGATGGCAAAACCCTAGGTTCTTATAGGAGATAGAGATATAATTCTAACCCTAGGTAACTATTTGAGCTATTTTCACAAATATTTAATGTTATTGAGTGTTTAGTCGACTTAGAGATATAATAGATTAAACTAATTGATCGGGGTTAATTTTATTCGGAGAGATAATTAATTAAAATAGAAAAATTAGGTTTAACAAGATAAGCGAGCATTTTTATTAATTTGTTTGTTGAGAAATTAATTTAGTCGCAGTCAGATAGAATCATGAATCCCAACCCGATTAAAATCGAAATTCTCGTCATTGTTGTAATTGTGTATATTAATTGAATTTCAAAATCATTTTCTTGTAAACTTTAATTTCAAAATCAATTTGTGTGTGTTATAGTTAAAATTAAATCTATTAGCGTATGGTTGGAAGAAACACTCTTCGAGAGATCGACTCGGCCTGAAAATTCATTTTATTACTTAAAAGCAACCCGAGCACTAGTGATATATGATTTTCGCGAACAAATTTTTGACGACATTGCCGGAGAGTGTTTTAATCTAACTGCTAGTTTAGTTATTCACTTTAATGATTTTTTTTTTTAAATTTTGTTTATTTTCATTTTGTGAATATATTTCTATTGTGAAGGTGACCTCTCAATTTTTGTTTTTCTAGGTCTTTGATAGTGTATGCATCGGTCGTGAAATCTCGATCTTTGAATTTGATCCGAAAATTGAAGAGACTTTTTGACGAAGGTTAACGGAACAACAAGAAGTGAGAAGACAACTTGAGATGGCTCAACAAGGAGAACTTGATATAGCCCAACGAGGAGGCAATGTTGACCTCAGTTGTTGACCTTAGTGCTCAACCCAGACATGTTCTAAAGGGTGGCATTCCTCGAGGCTTCGATAACCAAGTGGGTAGGATTCAAAATCCCATAGTGAATGAGGAGGACATGTTATTTCAGGATTTCCTAAACCGTTCTATGATGGAAAACCAATCAAGTATCATCTACCCTTCTTATGGGCATCCGAACTTCTAACTTCAACTGGATTTTATTAATTTGCTCTCTAACACCATATCATTCTATGGGAGAATCGATGAAAACCTACATGCTTACATTGCGCAATTCGTGGAAAATGCTAGTAACTTCAATTATGTAGGTGTAAGTGTGGAGGCTATCCAGATGAGACTATTTGTACATACTTTGAAAGATAAGGCGAGAGAGTGGCTTGACACTTTACTGTTGGGAAGCCTCACGAGTTGAGCGGAGTTGGTAAAAAATTCACAAGCAAGTTCTTTCTACTTGATCATGTGGCTAAGCTCAAGCACAATATAGCCACCTTCCAACAACTTGACATGGAAAAGCTTTCATGAGGCTTGGAAGAGGTTTAAAGACATGTTTAGAAAGTGCCCAAATCATGGGATCACTATAAACAACAAGTCCAATATTTCTATGCTGGTTTGACTCTCTCTTACTGTTGAAATGTGGATATATCTTCAAATGGGCCAATCCAAATAAGAACATCCAAAAAGCATACGATTTATTTGAAGTCATGATAGAGTAAAGTGCTATGTGGTTGGATAGGCATTTACAAATGGGAGTTAGTGGAGCTCATAAGAGTGAAGCATATTCTCTAGTTTTAGCTAATATCGATTCTCTAGCAAGAAAGGTAGATGGGATTTCTACGTCTACCTCTACTTCTCACTCCACACACATGATACAATCTCCTCAAATTTGTGATAGATGTGGAGCAAACAATTCAAGCTCTAGTTGTCCATTGATGGGAGGTGGTTTTGCATCCACTGAGCAAATAGCCTATGCTTAAAACTTTCAACGCCAAGGATATAATCAGTATTTTCAAACATATAACCCCAGTGGGCGAAATCATCTAAACTTACTCTTGTGGAAACAATCAAAATGTGCTAAACTTGAAGTCACAAGAAAAGAAAGAAGGATAGGAAGAGGCCATTGCTAAATTGGCGAATCATCAATTGCAATATCAAGAAAACAATGACGCCTCTATGAAAAAATTGGAATGTCAAGTGGGCCAAATAGCCAAGCTTCTTTCCAAAAGGCAACAAGGAGCATTGCCTAGCAACATCGAAACAAATCTAAGAGAGAATATGCAAGCTATTACCATTAGAAGTTGGGTGCAATTGCTTGAAATCACTGTGGTACGCCCAAAGACTCAACCTGGCATGGCACCAATTGAAGAAGATAAGGTTGTGCAAGAACTGAATGCAAATGATGAAGCAAATAAGGAAGGTAAACATAGCACTCAACATCAAGGGCTCTGACACCAATCAAGGCCTATGTGGCTCATATTCCCTTCCCACAAAGGTTCCAAAAGCATAAATGGGATGTCCAATTTGGTAAATTTTTGGAGGTGTTCAAGAAACTACATATAAACATTCCATTTGTCTATACTTTAGCTCAAATGTCGAGTTATGCAGAATTCATGAAGGACATTCTTTCAAAGAAAAGAAAACTTGAAGATATGAGACGGTGATGCTAACGGAGGAGTGCAATGTTATTCTACAAAACATATTGCCTCCAAAAATCAATGATCCAATGAGTTTTACCATTCCATACACTATTGGTGATTTAAATTTAATAAAGTTTTATGTGATCTTAGTGCTAAGTGCTAACATTAATTTAATGCATTGGTCAATTTTCTAGAAATTGGACTTGGGAAAAGCTAAGGCAACCATCGAGTCATTACAATTGGCCGACAGATATATCAAGTATCTAAGGGGTATCATTGAGGATGTCCTATTCAAAGTGGACAAGTTCATCTTCCCAGCTGATTTTATTATTCTTGACATGGAGAGGACCATGACATCCCTATTATCTTGAAGCAATCATTTCTCGCTATTGATCGGGCTTTTATTGACGTACAAGATGGACAACTCATCTTAAGGGTCCAAGATGAAAAAATTACTTTTAATATTTTGAAGGCTATCAAGTACCCATCAAAATTCAATTCATGCCTTCGAGTGGATGTTGTTGATCATGTGGTAGTCAATTCTCTTTACGAGCTTTCTAATGATCCTCTTGAAACATGTCTTGCCCGTTCTTCGGATATTAAAGATGAGGATCTTGAAATTGAGCACATGACACATTTTTTTGGGGCTACACCTTCTTGCTCTTACAAGAATGCACCATATTTTAAGGATTTGAAAAAGAACTCTACCACCACTACCATCTCTTCAATAAGCACCTACACTTGAATTAAAGCCTCTTCCATCTCATTTGAGATATGCCTATTTGGGAGATTCATCTACAATTCTAGCTATCATTTCCAATTTCTTAAGTGAGTTGGAGGAAGAGAAGTTACTAAGAGTGTTGAGGAGGCCATTGGTTGGCCTGTTGCAGATATTTGGAAGATTAGATCTTCACTATGCACGCACAAAATCCTTATGAAGGATGATTTCAAACCATCAATGGAGCATTAAAGTCGATTGAATTCGAATATGAAAGAAGTGGTGAAAGCCAAGATGGTAAAGTGGCGTGATGCGGGCATTATTTATTCGATTTAGATAGTGCATGGGCGAGCCCCATTCAAGTGGTACCAAAGAAACGAGGTGTCACGGTAGTGAAAAATGAGGATAATGAACTTATGCCTACTAGATCCATGACCGATTGGAGAGCATGCATTGATTACCGAAGCTTAACAACACTAATAAAAATGATCACTTTGCTCTTCCTTTCATTGATCAAATGCTTGAGCGATTCACGAGGTATTCTCATTGTTATTTTTTGCAGGGATATTCGGGCTATAATAAATTCGAACAACCTCGGATGATCAAGAGAAAACTAATTTCACTTGCCCATATGGTACATTTGCATATAGAAGGATGTCCTTCGGTCTTTGTAATTCACCCGCCACTTTCCAAAGGTGCATGATGGCTATCTTCTCCAATTTGGAGGAGAAATGTATTGAGGTGTTCATGGATGATTTCTCAATTTTTGGGGCCTCATTTGATGAATGCTTGAGGAACTTGGGGATGGTATTAAAGAGGTGTGAAGAATCTAGTTTGGCGCTTAATTGGAAAAAAATGCCACTTTATGGTTCAAGAAAGCATAGTACTTGACCACTAAATTTCACATAAGGGGATTCAGGTCGACAAGGCCAAAATCTAAGTGATTGAAAAACTACCTCCACCAACTTCGATAAAAGGTATACAAAACTTCTTGGGACATCTCGGATTTTATAGGAAGCTAATCAAGAATTTTTTAAAGATTACAAAGTCACTTTGCTCCTTACTTGATAAGAGCACTCCATTTGACTTCTCTCAAGAGTGTCTCCAAGCTTTCAAAACTCTTAAAGAGAAAATCATCACGGCTCTTATTATTGTAGCCCTGGATTGGAATCTTTCATCCGAGCTTACGTGTGACGTAATGATTATGCCGTTGGAGCGGTTTTGGGATAAAGGAGAGATAAAATCTTACATGTCATCTACTATGCTTGCTGGGCATCAATTGATGCTCAATTAAAACTATGTTATTACTAAATAAGAGATGTTCATAGTGGTATTTGTATTTGATAAATTTCGATTTTACCTCATTGGGTCGAAGGCGATTGTTTACACACTCGACCCTCAATTATTTGCTAGCAAAGAAAGATGCCAAGCCTCTGTTGATTCAATGGGTTCTTCTTCTATAAGAGTCTACTTGGAAATCTGTAATAAGAAGGGAACCAAAAATATTGTAGCCGATCATTTATCTATGGTTGAGCAGGTTAAGGAAGTGGTAGAAAATGGAGAAATAAATGAGATATTCCCTGATGAGCAACTCATGCATCTCCGACAAGCTACCCACACACCATGGTATAAGGATCATGTGAATTTTCTTGCTAGTCATGTCACTCCCCTGGATCTTTCTTACCAAAAGCATTATTTTTGGGAAGATCATTTGTTGTTCAAATGGGCACGAATCAAATTATTTGGAGATGTGTGCCTAAAAATGAAATGGAGCAAATACTTGAGCAATGTCTTTTCTCTCCCTATGGTGTTCACTTTGGTATCGTGAAAACCGCATCGAAGGTACTTCAATCAAGTTTCTATTGGCCCACATTATTCAAGAATGCCCACACTCTTGTCTCCAAGTGCGATAAATGCCGACATAGTGGTAATAGCTCCAATTGAAATGAAATGCCATTAAATTCTATATTGGAGGTGGAGATTTTTTATGTGTGGGATTTTGAGTTTATATGGCATTTTCCTTTTTCATTCTCAAATCAATACAAATTGGTGGCGATCGATTATGTGTTAAAGTGGGTAGAAGCGGCACCTTTGCCCACTAATAATGCTCGAGTGGTAGTAAACTTTTTGAAGAAAAATATTTTCCCTCGCTATAGCACCCCTCAAGCTATCATTAGTGATGGAGGTAAACATTTTTGTAATCGCCTCTTCGACTCACTATTGACAAAATATAGAGTGAAGCACCATGTAGCCACCACTTATCATTTCCAAACTAATGGCCAAGTTGAGATTTCAAATAGGGAGTTGAAGAGGATTTTAGAGTTAACGGTGAGCGCTTCGAGAAAAGATTGGTCCAAGAAATTAGATTATGCATTATGGGCTTACCATACTGCCTTCAAAATCCCTATTGGTATGTCTCCTTACCACCTTTTATTTGGGAAAGTTTGTCATCTCCCAGTCAAACTCGAGACCAGGCTTATTGGGCAATCAAAGTATTAAATTTTGTTAAAAAATTGGCCAATGAGAAAAGATTACTTCAATTGAACGAACTTGATGAACTCTACCGGGATTCATATCAGAGTAACCGAATTTATAAGGAAAAGACAAAGAAATAACATGATATACACATTGTGAAGTGGGGGTTCTTTGTTGGGAAACAAGTTCTTCTTTACAATTCTCGACTCCAATTGTTCCCCTGAAAACTCAGCTCAAGATGGTCGGATCCTTTAACCATCGCTAAAATCTTCCCACAACGGGACTGTTGAATTTTATTATGAGAAAAATGGGAACTTCAAGGTTAATGGGAAACGATTGAAACCATACTTGGAAGGTGATTTTTCAAAAGAGAAGTCATTCATTCTTCTTACCAACCTGGGATGATCAAGCCCTAAAGTCGAGCTAGAGACTTCAAAACCAACTTGTTGAGAGGCAACCTAATTTTCTTACGTTTATATTTCTTTTATAGTTACTTGTGATTAATACTTTTGTTATCGTATTTTTGACTTAATATCCTTTTTTTGTAGGTCAAAATTTTTGAATACCCATCCATGGATCTCAACAAGTTTGAAGGTGAATTGTACAAAAGGTTATAAGCTAAAAATTCGTCACGACCATCCTTCAATGAACATTCAACCAGGGAAGTGTCGTCAACCTCTTTCCTTATTTTATATTGTTCTTGTACACATTGAGAACAATGTCTAATTTAAGTTTGGGGTGTTGATGAGATATTTTCTTATATTGGTGTAGGTATTAGCGTGTTAGATATGCTTGTCGACTGTTAATGATTTGATGTGAAGTTTAAAATTGTTATTTTAATTAATAAGTTATGCCCAACCATGCTATTTGTCTCAATCTTGAAATTTTGCTTGTCCATGTGAGATCTATGTTATTTTTGGCATAATAATCATGATTGATTGTTGTCTATATGTGTAAGTGGTTGACTAATGGATAAATATTTGAATTGGAAGGACTAGGTTGTGAGTTATACATAAACTTCTGTTCACATACATTCTATTCTTTATCACTCCATCATTTTATGATACAAGTTTGGGGGGTCAAGCCGATAAAAGATACTATTTAGAAGTGTTTTGATTCCATGCATGTGAAAACAATTGCATGGAGTGTCTTTTGAAGCGTATAAGCTAAGTAATGATAATATGCTAAGAATCTAAGCCTCGTTTTGTTTCGTTGTGCTTAAAAGAATGATATTGCACCTATTGAATCTTAGGCCTCACTTTGTAGCCTTTTTTACTCAAGCCATTAAGCCCATCTAAACAACAGGGTGCTATTGACCTAAAGCTCACTACAAGGGTAAAAAAGAAAGGTTAAGGGAGTGAGGTAAAACATGGATTTGATTGAAAAAAAAAAAGGAAAGAAATTGATTTGATACAATAGTATTTAATATTTGGTCTTATATAACTAGTGGATTTGAATTACTTAGTATAAATTTAAATGTGAAAGTACTCATTAGTGGAAAATCATCATATAACCGGTTAGACCTAACCAAATTCGAGCAAGAAAAGAAAAGAGTGACGTGAAAATAACGTTTAGATTTACATTGGGAAAAGAAAGAAAATTGTTATTTTGTGATGTAAATTTCACGAGCAGGAAAGGAAATATATGGCCACAGAGGGTTGGGTTGGAGCTAAATTGAATTTTTTTTCCGTCTTAATAATTGTTTCCTAATTTAGATGCTAATTAAAAATGACTATGTACACATACATTGATCAAACATTGGACAAGCTTACATTACTTTTGGTAGCATAATTCAGAAGCATATGTGGGAATTGATTACACTATTTTACACTCATGAATACCTTGACGAGCTATCTAACATTGTTGGCTCTTAGCATATATTGCATGATTGTGTTAGGAGTTAATCTTGTTCGAGACTAGTAAGAACTTAAGTTTGGAGATGTTTGATAAATGTGTTTTTATACACTTATCAAGTACTTTAACGAGCTAATTATTGATGAAATTGGTGAATTCCTATTCATAATTATGTAATGACGACTTTTGTATGCCGAAATTGAAAATTGAAGGAGAAGAAAGCAAAAGGAAGGAAAAATGACCAAAGAGTTGAAAGTTTAGGGACCTAGGGTTACAATTTATGAGGGGTGTGATTGAAAGAAAAGTTAAAATTTGAGGACTAAACTGGACAAGATAAAAGTTGAGGGATATGACATGCAATAATTTGGAGGACCAAAGTTGCAAAAAGAAAAGAAGTGGAATGGGCTCCACTCACCGGCTCCTAGGCGCCCCAATTGTCAAGTTGGGGACCTAATTTGCTGTTTTTAAAAGGCTAAGACTATTTTGCAATTAACTAGGACAATTTTTGGGCCTTTTTAAATGCATATTGAACCCCTTTTCATCATCATTCTTCCACATCTTAATGGAAGAATGGGAAAAAATATCACAAAAGGGGGGAAATCTTGGAAAGATCAAGATCAAAACCTTGCAAGTTTCAAGAATCCAACTAAGGGACGGGTCTATTTCTTCATCTTGTATCTCACATTGTATTTTCTCAACTATTGTGATGTATTCTTCTAATCTATTTACTTGACTTTACTTAAATACAATGGGCTAAATATTTTGATATCGGGATGAATGAGAAAGCTTGACCAAACTATATTAATTTCTATATTTACTTGTTAATGCATTAATGCTTATGCTCTTTTGTTTTTATCATTGTTTTGAGTGCATTATTATGGCCCCTGTGTGATGATGTTAAGTGATTTGAGCTATTATTGAAAAGTTCTTGCACATTTTAGGTCGAGATGGTAGGAACCCTATATTCTTGTAGAATATAGAGATATACTCCTAATCCTATGTAACAATTTGAGTTGTTTTCACAAATATTTAATGTTATTGATTGTGTTTAGTCTACACAAAGACATAGTAGATTAAACTAATTGATCGAGGTTAATTTAACTCGAGAAAGGTAATTAGCTAATATAGGAAAATTGGGATTAACAAGATAAGTGAGTATTTTTATTAATTTGTTTGTTGAGAAATTAATTTAGTGACGGTCAAGTGGAATCATGAATCTCAACCCGATTAAAATCCAAATTCTCATCATTGTTGTAATTGTGTATTTTAATTTAACGTCAAAATCATTTTCTTGTCACCTTTAGCTTAAAAATCAAATTGTGTGTGTGATCATTAACATTGAATCAATTAGCATGAGCTTGAAAGAAATACTCTTCTAGAGATCGACTCGAACTCAAAGTCCATTTTATTATTTGAACGCAACTCGTGCCATGCAGTATATGATTTTAGCGAACAACATGCTATCAGCTAGAATGTCATTGTCGCTTCGTGCTACCAACGCTATGTGGTCTCTCACAGCACACTCGCCTCCAATGTGTGACACTGTTAGAGAGAGAATGGAGAGAGACAACGCAATGGAAATATTTAGGGTTTGGAAGTGAGGTAGGTTGGATCAGGGTATGTTAATTAATTTATTTTTATAATGATATCATTATTAATATTTAGAATTTTAATTACATCTGATTTTTTAAAGAAAAACTTGTAACTCCTAATTATGACTATAGATCTTGAAAACACTTAGTCTATGTAATTTCTATTTTTTAATAGTTACTTAAAACTTGCTTTTTGATTTCTGAGATATCTTGGACCATGATCAAGGATGAGATCAATAGTTAGCAATAAAGGTATAAATAAAACTTTCAGCTATCTCATTAGGTCATTATCTGATTTCGTTGTCTCTTGCTTTGGAGTTAATTGTTCCAATGATCACTGAAGTTAGGTCCATGTTTTGGATTGGTCATTGAAGTTTAAAATGTCAAGTTTTGATAATTGAACTTAGGTCCATGTCTTCGATTGCTCACTGAAGTTTAAAATATTGAGTTTTGGCCACTGAATTTTAAAAAATATTGTACATTACTCATTGTAAACTCGATATTTTTCAAAATTCAATATTTATTCCAGTGACTTGAAATTTTAAATTTTGGTGAATAATCAAAGACATGGACCTAAGTTCAGTAACCAAAACTCAACATTTTAAACTTCAGTAATCAATCAAAGACATGGGCCTAAATTCAGTTGCTATTGGAACAATTAATTTATTGCTTTGTGTTTCTACAATTTTCTCCTCTCTCTTCCATCTTCTTTCAAACATCTAGTTGGAATTTGTTTCTTTCTGATTTTCTCTTTGTGAGATATATACTTAATATAAGTGATAGAGAGATATGGTGATCAATTTTCAGTTGCATCCTTTAATTCGCAACTCGATCGTATTCATGCGCCGCTCATTCAACTATCCATCAGAGAAAGGGAAGAGAAGTACCATGTGCCACCCATCCTTTCTTTCTATTTGTCCTAACCAGCAAGAGACAACTCGAGGGTTCAAACCCCTCTCTTTCCAATTCCAGTGATAACTTGATTGGTTTATTTATTTATTCGAATTTTGAAATCTTAGTTAAATATGAGGAATAGATAAAATTCTATATAAGGGTTTTGCACTAGGTTTTTCGTAGTTAGGGTTTTATAGCCAAATAAATGGGTACAATTTTGAGCTTGAGCCCTTTGATCTACAAACTCCCTAGCCCTTGTTTAGACTCCATTTTAATGAGGTTTTGGGAAACAATAATTTTGAAATAGTGATTTTTGAAGAATATAGGGTTAAAAAGGAATGAAAAGTTTTGAATTTCCATGTAATATTATTTTATTAAAAATGTAGTTAAAAAGACGAGAGAGAAAAGAGATTTTGATAAAATGGAGCCAAAACATGGGCTTAGTGTTATTGTGATTTTTATCATAGATCGTGTATTAGAATCTCATATGTTGAAGGGATTATTATTTGTCAAAAAACTTATATTTTGTTCCAAATCGTTTTCTAATTGTAGCAATAATGTATGGCCCCTAAAAGTTTAGAATAACGTGCGATTCCACGTTTTCATGGTCAATTGTTATCATTTGAGCACTTAATGGATAATCTCTTAAGGTCAAAAGAGTATTGGCACGTCGTTGATTTTGAAGTAGAACTAGCGGCTAGCGTCGTGTTGACAGATACACAAAAGGCTGAAGAAGTGCAAAAGTTATGATCTCGAGGCAATAATCATATTTTTACTACAAGAAAAACGATATTTAACAATTAATGTTTTAACGATCAAATCAATCTGGTCGCTAAAAATTATTTTCAACAACCAAATTATACGTTTCATCGTAGAAATTGGATGACGAAGAATCGAATTTTAAATTGGTCGGAAATATTCTATAACAACCGAAAAAATAGTTGTTAAATCTATATCTTCAATGACCAAATTAAAATTGGTCATTCTGAGTGGGTGCCAAATAAAAAAATCCCGCCAAAATATTTTTTCATATTCAACGACAACAAAATCAATTGTTAAAAGCACAAATAATATGGTAAATATTCAACGACCATATTGTTTGGTCGTTAATATAGTATAACAATAACTAATTTTATCTCCTAGTTGAAAATAAAGGAAAACTCGACATTTAACGATTATTTATTTAGTGGTCGTTACAGGTGAAATTCAACGACTGATTATGTTTTAGTCGTTGGAGGTTTATTACAACCTGGTACAATTTTTGCTTAGAATTTTATTTTGGTTCCTCCCCCCACCCCACCCCTTTTTGCCTTCTATAGGTCAGGTTATGGTAGATCTATAAAAATCGACAAAAAACCCTAACCCTATTTGCCTACTTAAAAAATTTTGGAAAAAAAAAATCCCCTTTTCATTATTCGTCTGTGTTATTATTTTCACA